TGACTGTAGCTTTTTTTCCTCAAAACTTTGTCTTCAAAATAAGGGTGCATCTTATACACCGGTGCGTCTTATATTCCAAAAAATATGGTATATTTCACTAAGAAAGTATTGCATATGAAATCCTTCCTTATCCTGATATTTCTGTTCTTTTTGTGACTTAGTCAGTCATAAGCCAATGATTCATTAGTGTGAAATTAGACAGTTTGATGTATGTTTTTAAACTTTTAAGCCACATTCAAAATAACTGCTTTAAGAGGAATACTTCTTTTAATGTAAAAGTTTAACTGAAAAGCATAATTTTAATCAAAATTTCAAAACCATTTTTTAATATTTGACTGGTGAAATAATTTCTAACTGAACCTTTTAAAGCTCGGTGGTGGGTATAATGGCACCTTTAATCTTTTGTTAATGAAAATGAATGACTCATTAGTGACTAGATCTGAAACATAGACATTTCAAATACAAGGCATGATAACTATGTAACCTTTTAAAATATAAATTAAATTTTGATAGTGAATTGATGATTTATAATACAATAGAAATCACTACATAACATACCTATTTATTATGCCATTATGCATGACACACGTAACTGTTGACCTTACAGCCAATTTCATAAATATACTGTAGTAGGCCTGATTACATCATGTGCTATGCCACTTTGTTGAAAGTTGAAATAAAAATCATCTCAAGTATTAAGGCTAATATAAACAAATATCATTTATCTCGCTCTATTCTGTACATAAAATTTATTTTTGTTGTTCTTTTACTAATGTAGGAAACTTGTTTTTAAAAATTTGCAATGTCTTTTACCTTTGCTTAAGGGGGAAATATGATCCTACCATTAATCAACTTGATAATGGCTTTGAGTTACAAAACTCATGAGTTATTGTAAACAGAAGTTAACTGCTAAGACTATTTCTTTCAGGTAAACTAAATAAACACAGAAGGATACTTTAAAGCTTACAAATAATAGAAAACAATAACTAAATGATAAAAGAAGTCTTTTGATTGAAAAGCTTGTTGAGTTAATGAAGAAGATTTTGTTTTACTTATGTTCATGAATGAAGAATTTTGTTTTGGATACAAAAATATACACAGTAACAAAGTCTCACAAAAGAGAAATGAACATAAATTTTTATACTTGGTTTTTCTGGTGCTTGTTTTTGCATAAACATGTTTTTTTTTCACTTAATGAATAACAACACAACATATTAAAAAGATTTTATAAGTTAATTTTGTAATATTTGAATGAGGACATCTATACATGGAAAGTTTTTAACAATAATAAATTTTCAAATAAACTGTGTGCTTTAACCAACAAATTAAAACTATTTGAACTTTAGTGTATATTGAAGTTTGTTAAATTAGCTTGAAATTTTGGTTGCCAAATGTGATGTTTGAACTATCAAATTTTAATTTTGAATTGAAATAAAGGTTAAGGTATTGAATAATTTAAATATATTTTTACAGATTCATGAAAATTTTGCTGTTTCTATTTATTTGTTAAACAGAAATTCAGGTGTGACATTTTTGCTTATAATTGCAAGCTCATGCAAAGGTTAAAATCAGGTTTAAGAGATCTCTGTAAGCTGCTTTTGGAATAGTGAAAATAAGTCTTTTGAAGGTAAAATACCAATAGCATGCTTGTTGGATTAGTGTTGTAAGCTTAGATTTTTTTTTTTACCGATGTCCATAAGTGGAGAGTTCCAGGTTGAGTACAGAAATCCACATTTGAAATTTTAGCCAGAATAGAATAAGTAAGAAAATTTCTTGCAAAAGAGGAATTATCATTAATTTTTGGACTTGGTTTGTCTGGCACATTTTTTTCATTTTCTACTGGAGTCACATTTTTATATAACTCTGCACTTGCACAGTGATTTGTTCCATGAGCCTGCTGCTGTTTTGTTTGTCAATGTTCAGAAATTTTCAGTAATGGTGAAATTTTCTTTTACCACCTGTGATTTGAGGCTCTCAGGTTTGATTCCAATTGCAACCACATTTGCTTACTCTGTCTTTGTTATGGTAAAGCTGCTAAGGCTATTTGCCACTGTCACTAATTTTAAACAGCTGACTAGAAGGAAGGCATTTGTCTGACAGCATCCACTGCCAACTCTCCTTTTATTTTTTGTATGTGCTGGAAAAAATATACTAAACGATAATTCGTAATTAATTGATTAGCAAATACCACTAATTGCCCAGTCCTATTTCTTAATTGACACTATGGAAAAACTACAAACATTTGTTATTTGACAACAGTATAGCAGAAAGCAGTATAGTCTGAAACTACTCAGGATGAAGAGAATGTACCATGTTGTTTAATGTAATATGGGCAGTTTGCATATAAAAAGTTATGCATCATCTGAAGCTGAGAGTTTGTAAAAACTGTAAGTATAAGTGTTTATATGGTGGATTTGTATGTGAATTTTGTCAGCAAATATATTCTTTTGTGTCATTTGTTACAGAATAACATTCAAATGAAGTTGCAGCTGAAAACTCAAAAAATCATACGGAATAAAAACAGTATGTAGAGTAGCATTGTTGAAGATAGAGTGAAGCCTTGAGTTATGCAGATTAACTGGAATCATGCTGAAAATGTGAAATACACATGTAACAGGAATAATGGCATCAGAAGTAATCTCATAAATGGAAGTGATCCCAGTAGTGAGAATAGTGATGTCATAAATGATATTCATGATGTGCTAGAAATTGTACTTACTTTAGTAAC